CTAAGAAATGTTCCTTAGTAAGTGACATGACCCAGAGGTGCCAGAGTGGCAGCTATGAAAGAGCTTCAGTTTTTCCTTCATTACCAGCCAAGGAAACCCCCATGAAAGGAAAGCATTTATTTTCTGTCTCGCCACTCGCTGCAGACACATCTTGCAGAGCAGCGCTCATCAGTCTAAATGTGGTCAATAACTGACAGGTCAGATTTGGAAAGTTTTGTTTCTACAATGCACCCTTTTAGGAATCAAACTTCCAATGAGATAAAATAGCATCAGGCCTTTCAGATGCAAAGCAGGTTACAATTTCTAGAAGATGATATAATCACTATGCTAACTTGTGAATTACATCGTGACCTATATGAATATATATGACCTGATGAATGAACAAGAAAGTTCCTGCTGTAGATGTTCTCTCTGCCCATGTAAGTCAACAGTTATCATCGCAAGAAATATAATTAAGGAAGTCTGTCATGTATAACTTTCTGTATTATACTAACTAGATTCCAACTCTATTTTCCACCAAAACCCCATAACGGATAGGAAAAACTAATTTCAGCAAGTCTGGCCTAACAACACATTAAAGAATTAACCTTCTGAGTTGTTTTTCTGCTCTGTTTTAAAAAGCACACTGATATCACTTACATCTCTGACTCCACCAGATTAAAAGCTTCTCCTTATGTGCCTGCAGCCACTTTTTTTTTCTTTTACCTAATTACACATATTTAACTCAAGGTGAACAGATGCACACTTAATTGGATAAACTCTGATCTAATTCTGCTCTGACACAAAAGCGACAGAATTTCAAATTTGAGTTCTGGGCTATAGTTTCACTTAACACGAATCAAACTCAATCATGTAACATTAGTACATGTACCTGGCAGACAACAAGATCCAGGATTAGAATAAAACAAGACAAGGATCAAACTTGGTGAAGAGAAGAGAAAGAATGAGACAGTGATGGAGCTTCACAGTCTAACATATCACAATATTGCAATCGTAAATGATGGCTTCAATGCAATAATATTTGGCAGTCTTCAGTATTTCAGGTGTCATGTCTTAAATTGCTCTCTCTTTTTTTTTGCAAACTTGAGTGTCATTCTTTTATTTTAAAACTTGATATTGATCATAGTCACCAAGATGAGAATGCTCAAGGAGAGTGGTAGACGATGGAAAGGGGAAAAAAATGACACTGTGGTGGACATTGTGGTGTCCACCACAGCCCTAGATACTAATATGGGGAGATATTATACTTAAAAATTCCATAAAATTAAACGTTCATTTCAAGCATGAACATTTAACCAATTTTTTAAAATATTGATTATTACGCATCAAAAATTACCGTGGTTTCAGGGTATTGCTGTAAGTTCCCCTAAAAATTTGAAGACAAAGATGTATAATTTAATGTATTTTTATTTGAACCAAAAAAACAAGTGTTATAACATACCAACGTTTAGTGTTAAAAAGTTTCCATAACATTTGCTTATTACTATTATCAATTTGATACTAAGACTTAAGGAAGCAAATTGAATAAACACTATAAATGTGTCATTTTCAAGACAATATGTTTATTGCACATATAAAAATACCTTTTGGCACACTGGGAGGATAACAAGCTGATATTAGATAACAGCAGTTAAATCACTAGGTTATTAATCATGGTAGCTAGCCTGCAGTTAGCTTTACAGATATGTTGCAAGGATCTTACAAAAGGAAGTTTTAAAACAACACTATCTTCAAAACAGTGATGGGTGGAACTTAAATTCACACACCATGACTAGCTGTGATTTTACAACCAGGAAAATTTACAAACAGCCAAATTTGTCTTTTGTGTCGGTAAGGACAGAATGTAATTATTTTTCCATTTTCCTCCGGTTGGTTGAAGGAAAAGAGGAGGCTCTGCTCTAGTATGAACTACATAAAGCTTGGCACACTTCGGTATCGTTAGCACATCCTGTCGTTAAGTTTTAGTGCGCTCTTTTAAAACCTTGGTAGGATGATGACATATTGGTAACTGGCCATAGCCTGGTGTAAAATAATCTAATTTACTCACTGAATAAACTCTTCTAAACTTCTGAATGTGCAAATATTTTACAAATGCTTTTCTGTATCCCTGTTTTATTAGCTCGTCTCTTAACAAATATCAAATATCTCTTTGCAACTTTTACGAACTTTGACCAGTGTGACACTGTTTATTCATCAGTTATGGAGATGATCTATAACTTATGATAATAAGGGCAAAGTCACAGATGCGAGCTATTTAATGATTTCTAATTAGGTCATAAACCAGGCCTTCCCAGTTGTATGTGAGATCAGGTCCTGAAGCTTTCTATATTTGTATACAACGCCTGTGTTTTATTATTTAATGGCTTACTTTTAAAATAAAACATTTTTTTTCTTTTTTATTATGAAAGACTATTACAACACTTAATTATATGAAATAAATTCAAGGGAAGCATGACTCCTGGAAACCTCACCCTTATACTGATTCACTTGGTTTCAAACATGAGCCTGTATTATAGAACCATACAGTTTTATACACACCTCTCGTAGTTTGAACTGTGAAAGACATCATCTAAAGTCCCTGTCAGTTTACATCCAATCATCAAGGACAGAGTATATTTTAAAAACAATAACTGGATGTGCAATTTTGAGTCTAAATTGGAGCCAGGTTTGTAGATGTAGTCCATGCATTTTCAAAACAGTTGAGATCTGATCTTTACAGAAGTTTAATATTAGCCTGCTGTATTCAAGAGATTTTGGACCGGCTGTTCTGTTGGAACAGCCGGTCAAATCTAAGACCCAACTAAAGCTGTTGATCTGAAGTGAAGTTGAAAACTCTGGAGGTTGTCCCTCTGTCATTAAGCTATTCGGATGAGCAATCCACCACCCTGGACAGTGATCATGACTCTTGGCATGATCAATAAACCTTTAGCATCACTTTGGAACAGCCGCACGTTCAAATGACCTTGAGTGGAGTTACGCAATGTTTGTGCATGTCATTTATGTGTAGATTTAACTTAATGGAATTTGCTTTATGGGCCAATGACTAAATTAAGGCAACTTTTATTAATTTGTTTTGCTGTTTCTTCGTAAATCATTAGTTGACTAGTTAACATTAACTTTTGCAGCAAACCAAATTTTTCATCCCTTCTACATCTCTCTGAGACAGAGAACAAGACATTAGGTTCTAGAGCATTGGTAAGACAAAACGGGTCAAAGTGTTTTCGTTGACAAATGTTCTTAACATGCATTTCCTTTTCATCTGCATTGGATGAAAGAGACTCATGAAATGTATGTGGGAGGATAGAAATGACCAGACCTAATCTTTAGGTACCAACTATCTATCTGAGAGGGAATTGCAAACCCAGTGCATCATCCACCAACACTACAATGACTGATTACCAAGCAGATAGACTTAAGGTGGGTCCAGTCCAACTAGTTAACCCCATCATGACTGCAGCTGCTTCACAGCTATAATTCAAGCTAAAACTGGAGGGAACTGGACCCACTGGAGTTCGCAGGTTCTCCCTGTGCATGTGTGGGTTCTCTTCAAATACTCCAGCTTCCTCCCACAGTCCAAAAACATGACTCTTGGGTTGACTGGTTTCTCTAAATTGCCTTTAAACACGAATGCGTGCAGGCATGTTTGTCCTATATATCGTTATGTTGCTTTGGGATAGACTGGTGACCTGTGCCTCTCACCCAATGAATGTGGGAGATAGACACTAGCCCTCCCTGTGACCCTGCAAGGCCAAGAGGGAATGGGCAATTGATAGATGGATGAATACACAGATTTATATAGTTTAAGCTCTGAATATTAGGAGTATCCTTGTCAATGTTTGCTTCAGACTTGGCACCCAATCATAGCTTGTGGATTGACAGCCATATTCTGACTCATACCCCTTACAGCTCAAACGCCGTATTTTATAATCCTCAGGAAACAAACTGTCAGACAGGATGAACATTTTGAAATCCACTTCAGACATAGTGCTTACTAAAGTCAATCAATAGCCTCGTATACTCTCATGACCCACCATGAGTCCTTATGACCCCTCTGTGATGTCACTGCCCTAGATGTTTACAATGCAAAGATTTTATTTTCACAAGAAAACTTTGAATTTTTACAAAATCCTGTATTGTAAATGTATTTATTTATTTTTTGCTAATCCTACTTTATTTATTATGTTTATAAAATTGTTGAAAAGCAAATACACCTTAGATTCTTTGCTTTAATGTGAGGCTCGGTGACAGTCATGTCGTAATGCCCAATAAAAACGCAAGACATCTAGACAGCCGAGGCTTGGGGGTCAAATTAACTCATGTAGGCGGCGCTCTGAACATGATGCAGAGCTATGTTTCATTACTTATCATTTCCTGTTAGAGGAGAGAAAGTGATGAAATTCCATTTATTAGCTTGAAACACCAATTACCGTGGCTGGTAAATGCTTAGTGATGGCAAAAAAGGAGAATTAAATCAGGTAAAATCAAGTGAATTAAATGTTCACCATGACCTACTTTTTAAAATTCTGCATCAGTGTTTAATTATTAAACAAACTTCCTGTGCATTTGTCGCATGTGAAGACGGCAAAAATGGTGCAAGTGAGCATTTTGTGAGCAAACACAGAAATCCTTTAAAACTAACGACTAGTTCGGTTCCTTTAGGACATTATTTGAAACAGGAACAGAGTCTATGCACAATGTAGCTGTCTCTGGTTGCTCTACGGAGGACAAATATAGTACCCGTTGCCATGGTTATGCCAGAGAACACATTGCCACAAACAGCTTTGAGCACCACGAGGACGCACACCTACACACCCCCCCCTCCCCCCACGACACTCTTTTCACCACGTGCAGATAAGCAGAAACCTGTTTATGACTAATTGTACTGAAGCAGGTAATGATTTCATCTGTTTGCATTAGATGAAAGATGAGCGCTTTTGGAGAAACTGCTGCCTTCCTTTTTTTTTTTTTTTTCCCCTTAAATAAGTTGCCGACCAACTCACCGTCACAGTGGGGATGGCGGTGACGAGGGAGTAGACCAGGACCGGCGGCGCCTTGCTGTAGTCCTCTGGTCCTGGGTATGGCTTTGAGTAGGCTTTGTCGAAACAGAAGAAGCCCTGGATGTGCACGGGGAACGTGTCCGTGTACTCAAAGTAATACGCCAACAGAACGGTCCCTGCCATGATCACCAGCTGGAAATAAAACATATTGGTAGCAGCGTCAGGACTGGGGAAAAGAGAGGGCAGCCAGAAAAAAAAAAGAAAAGAAAGAAAAGTAGGATTTTTTTTTCCTTCACAGAGCAAAATGACGGATGCTTCCTTAATGTGTAAAGTAAGCCATTTGTGTGAGGAGAGAGAGAGAGAGTGAGGAAAGAGGTTGAGAGGGAGGGAAGTAGATAGAGACGGAGGAAGATGGATAAGGAGGAAGCAAGAGAGGAGAAAAGAAAGCAGAGTGGGAGAGTGAGAGATCCCTTCAGCAGTGTCAGTGTTCAGAGTAGGAGGGGAGAGAAACAAACTGAGCTCGCTTGGGAAAAGAGGAAATAAAGCTCCATGCAGAAGCAAGAAAAGGGAATGAGAAAAGGATGAGGGGGGAGAAACAGATGGGTGAGCGACAGAAAAGAGGGGCAACGAACAGAGAGAATAACACAAGAAGAGCAACATATGCATGTGTGGATCTCTGCATAACTGAGTTTATGGCTCTTCTGACATTTCTTATATTTCAGCTGCATGAAAAACACATGCGACGCGACTTCCATAGCTGCTAAAAATTCAATCACAATCATTCATTAGCAATTCATAACAGAGTGCATGGGTGAAAGGAGAGAGGAAGAGGAACGGTAAATATAGAAACCACAAAAAAAAAAAAAAATGCACACATGCATTTCAGCACAGATGAGACAGATACACTGGTAATAATTAAACAGCGTACTCATGCTACTGTTCAACAACAAAAAAAAAGAACATCCAATCAGAATCCAAGCCTCTCTCATTCTATGATTGAAAACCTGTGGTTTGTGCAACATCCTGACAGTAACCTAAAACCAAAATATATTAAGAAAACAAGCACAGCAAAGCCAGCTGTTGATCAGTTTGACCTCCATCTGCAGTCTGGATATTTACGTGATGAGCTTGCTGCGAATTTGAAGGACAAATTTGTCGAGAGAAAAGCGTGAGGGGGCTTCTGAGGGCAGGCTGAGCTGGATTAAAGCTGCAGGGACACAACTCTTTGCTGTTTCAGCTGTTTGATGGCTGTTCGTAGCCATTCCTTCTCCAAAAGAGCAGACATGTACGCACTGTGGCCATAAAAACATGACATGTAAAATAACTAATACTAAAAACTGTAAACAGTACTTTCTAATTGAAAAGAGAGGATAATCTCTGCTGTGACCGAGTAAATACTGTCTCTGGATCCAAGAGTTAGGATAAAATGAAAGGTACTGCCATGAATAATGTAAAACTACGTGGTTGTAAAAGAAGTTAAAGAGAAAGAAAATAGAATTTGACTTTTTCTACGAATTGGCAAATACACAATAGGCTTTATCTATCAAAACCTGACGTAGATCTGGGTGCAGTAGTGATCAGAGAACAATGTTTCACATATGATTCATGAAATCATGAGCAAGCTGTGAAGCCTGGGGTACAAATAGGCAGGTGTTGATATATCTGGTGGCTGAAAACAGTTTTAATTTATAAGCCATGTCGATTTTTTTTTTTTTTTTTTTATATCTTACTGCTCAAACATAAATATGTTGACAGTCAGACTGCCGGGTCAGAAGTTGACCTGACAGTTCTCAGACCTAAATTAGTTCATAACGTCACAGAGCCTCAAATTAAACCTGACTGTCCAGCACAATATAGTGCAGAACAGGACAGGACAAACGGATGCCACACACCATCTGGGACGTGTTCAGCAGAGCTCCTCCAGCCGATCCAAGACTCAACCTTCTCCTCTTCAAGGAGACACTGCCGCCCTCGCCTCTTTTAACCTCTGCACTGATATGGCTTTAGTGGTTTATCACTTTAATGCCCTGGAGGACAAAGTCAACATAATAGTTATGCATGTTTTATGTACGAGACATCACGGAGCACTGATATTTCTTTTAAATCTGTTTATGGGATGTAATTTTAATCACACATACAGTCCAGATTCCTGCAGTAGCACCACAGGAACAGTCATCATTTTGAAAAATCCTCTGCTCACTCCGGAATCTAAAATGTTTTCTACTTCAGAAACTTTTTTTTTTCATGTGTCCTCCACTTTTCTTTTTTTCCATGTGTCCTCCACATATTAAACAGGAAAGCACACAGTTTTCATGTTTCCAGCTAAAGTCCTCAATATTTGAAATACTGCATTGATGTAGCGGCATGCAGTCTATGGGATGCGACTGCAATCAGCCTTCATTATCTTCAAAGTAAACTGTTGGAGAAAAGTCACTCAGATATAATTCGCAGTATGCAAATTATGTAAATTTCAAGTTTAGGAAAAATTTGAGTTTTTCCTAAACTCATATCCAAGTGGACACAACCAAAAAACGAAGGAGAAAATGGCTGTCCTTCATGGATCCGTCCTGTCTCCGAACTCGATCAAGAGGCGCTTCAAGCGTCCATGTTGCTCTCTCAATGTCTGTCCAGGACTACAGCTAGCGCCGCTCTTCAGGGCTCCTCAGAGGGTTCGAGCAGCTGCGATGTGGAGCAAGTTTTGTTTTAACTGTCTTTGTTAAGGAAGAATAAGATGACCTCAGTCTCACTGCTTATCTGTGTGCTTTCTTTAGAGATGCTGAAATGTAGTGAGTGACTCCAAATGAACTGTAAACTAAAACAACGACCTGACAAATGCAGCTAATTGGGATTCAAGTTATCTTTTACCTGGGGTCCACAGTACAGCGAGCTTCACGCTCCAAGCACAGCACGGCCAGTCACAACCCTCCGTGCAGAAAAATTGCTTTGTTTGTTTCGTTTTTCTTTAATCTCATAGCACTTTGTTTGTGGTTTTGCATTTGATTGTGTGGGCGTGTTTCCATGTGCACTGAATTTGAGGATATCTGTTGGTATGTGGGTGCATTCCCATGTCTCATGAGGAACTCAGGCACAGGCGAGCTACGGTGAATGTTTCTCTCCATCATCCGGTCCTCTGTTCCTCCCAGGCTACAGAAGGCTTGAGGGAGGGAAGTGAGGAGAGGTGGGAGGACGGGAAAGATAGAACATCTACAATCACCCATTGAAGTTAAATATTTGAAGGCAACTGCTGAAACGCTCCTGAGAGATTTATTGTTTTACATTTTTACATAAGGTTTTTTGCCATATGTCGGTGTTAAAACGTCTCAATCAGCTGAATGTGCAGCACAACGCATGACTGGAAACAGACAGACAGACAGACCAGAGTGCTGCCTCTTAATGCAAAAACACGTCTCAGCGTGGACGGTGTCGAGAGGAAGAAAACTCAAAATTAGCTATTTTTACTACCAGTGGGGTGTTTATAAATGGAGTTAGGAGGAAGCACAAAAGGTCTGAGAGCCCCTAGAAAACCGGATTTTCTACGGGTATGGCGGCTGTCTAGTAAGTCTCTAAACAGCCGAAGTGGAAGTTGAGCATATCACAGGAAGCACCATAGCTGCTCTGCTTTATCCTTTTCACATGCTGGAAAAGGAAATGTTCATAACCCTTTAAAAAATCTCAAAACTAACAAAAGGATCTTCTAAGACGACGATGAATGCACACATTCAGTGATATTCTTAGTAATGCTAGGTGCTCCAATTGTGCTAATCACTTATATAAAGATGCAGAAAACAGTTGACAATGCCAACTCTGATATAATATTGACTTAGTTTTAAAATAACACTAGAATCCCATTTGACTGCAGAGTTCTGTAACACTGACTTGTCTTTGCGTCACAAACGTGGTGTGAATAACAGAAATAAAGCCAGAACAACCTTTTGATTATAATGACCATGTTATTGTTAGCCTTAAGTACTCACTATTTAGCACAAATTTTTCCAACGCTTCCTTATTAAATATGGTGTTGAGTTGAATGTCATTTGAGGTTTTTGTGCAGCTCACTCTGCAGACACTGAAGGTTTTACTAAATACTCCTGAAGGTCAAAGCAACTTCAAGTTGATGGTTTCTAATTAGCATCAAGGCGACGCTGCAGTCTCCTTGGAATATTAATTTGCATAAATGGAGGCCTTCTGCAAACAGAAGGTAAGGGGATCAACACCATTATGCGTTTGTTCTTTGTTTGCGAGAACTTCCTTGAATTCCCAACTAAACATCTTGTCAGTATGACAAAAATTCCAAGAATAGTCGAAGTTGGACCAAGTTGCTTGCTAAGTTTTTGGATCTGATAAAAGCAGCACTTTGGTCAGAGGCTAAAACCTAATGACTAATTAAAATGTTGTGAAATGACAGCAGATAATTAATATGATTCATTCCAAACCCTGTATTTATCCAGGTGGGTACATAGTTAGACCAGAAAAGAAGTACTTAGCAATGCCAACTTTCTTTTTTTTTTTGCCTTAATCACAATTCCTGGTGTGAAGATCTTATCTGTCTTTTTTACTTTGTCCACGTTCTAAAATTTTTCATTTAAAAGGACATTTTTTATACTCATAGAATAAAACCAAACACACTAATACATGTCCAGGTTTACCTCCCTTTTTTAATCATCGTCAATTTGAAATTACAGGCACCATTTTAGCTATAAGCTCATCACTTTGTCTGCCATTTTGTTCTCACAAAAACTCAACCCACATTTAATAAAGGCTCCCATTTTGATTTCTTCTCCTACCAGCAGTTTATACACATATTAATTAAGTCTGGCATACATTTACACATGCCTCATGCTGCTTGATTGGATTTATTATCCTGCGAGTTGGTAATTACCAGTTTAATAAATTCTGCTGAACTGTTGGGGGGGAATAAATAATGCCTGTGATTGTTGTAAATGTGTAATGAAATAACAGATCAGGGGCCGAGTCAATTCTCTTCTTTGCAGAATTATGTTAAACCTGACTTTCAAATTTCCTAAATTCTTTCAGCAATGTAAGCTTTGAGAAACATGCAGATAATCATAAATGTTGCAGCTCAGCTGTTGCACAAAGTTCTTTTCATCTTCTCCCTGCTTGAGGTTCTCGGGTGTTTGGTTGAAAATGGATGAAATTAAATTTAAGGTTGTGTTATACAGTCAATGGCAGAG